AAAAGGTAGTACGATCAAAGAGTAATCGTCCCTTCATCGTCCAGCTGGCATTCACGATCCAAGAAATGGTCGTCCCCTCTTCCTGTTCATTATTGGATACTTATCAACCATTCATCGCTTTTCAAGCCGGGCATTCACGATGTTCATGCTCCAGCTTGAGGGGGAGAATAGGAGGTCAACATACGTCGGTCGACTAACTCAGTCATCAGGTCGACCGCGATGTACCAGGTGTGTTCAAGTTCAAGAGACGCAGTCAATCGTCTCCATCATCAGGTTGTTCAGAGAGAGTCAGTCGTCTCCAATCAACCTCGCCCGAGATGTTATTCATCTCGAGTTTTATGGTTCAAGCCATCATGCTTGTTCTTCACATTTACTTCTTCAAGCTCGACATTCTTGTCATTCATGTCTTCGCTTGAGGGGGAGTGTTGCGGTTACTTAAACCGTGTTAGTATTGGGCCTTGTTGGGCCTCGTCTGATTCGTTGGATTAGGGTTTTAACCCTAAGTTTATCTATATAAGCTTAGCTATCGACTTGTGTGATAGCAAGCCGTCAAGATGTAATCCTAATAAGAGATCAGCCGTGAGCTCTTATGAGCTCACCGTGGATTAGTCTCGATCAATCAAGATCGAGGATACCACGTAAAATCTTGTTTTCTCGTGTTATTTCATCTTCCGCATCATCAAATTCTACAGTATTGGTATATATGACATTATTATGGTCTCCAATATGATTTAAGTACTTTGGTTGGTATTGTATATATAATTAATGGCTTACTAAGAATAATTATCTTCACCAACCTGGATCTCACACAAAAATTTCCACCAAGAGATATGTCGAATTATAACATCTTTATAAGGGATTCCCCCTTCGCCTTTAATTGAAGTCTTATACTTTCTAATTTCTAAAACTATGCAAATATCAAATATATGGAAGAGATTAATGTTATAGTTGATTGGATCTCTCGTCCTCTAATAAGACACTAGTTTTGTTGCCCGCGCTTTGCCGAGGAAGACTTGTTATACAACATGAGAAATAACGTAACTATTCCACCAACCTTCATAAGTTCTTATGGACTGTATTTTAATAACTATTATAGAACATGTTACATCATCTTCCATAATGCGTGTTTAATAATAAAATCAAGCAACCTATCTTACATTTGGTTAAACTGTTATATAAGATTAAATTATCTTACCAAAATTTTAATGTGTAATGCAAATAGATAGAGATGGTGAATATAGTAGGCAATAATAAGGAAACCCAGCGCAATGTGGTAACCCAGACTTACCTAGAACTGTCCGTGGGCGATCATAAAACTTCAATTTTTTCTCGAGGAACAATAACTTCAATTTTTTTTTTTGTAATTTTTGTAAACTTGCGGTTTAATTATTCTAATAATAATAATTCTCTGTCAAATAACAGAATTACTTTTTTAGATTTAATTAATTTCTGATTTTCTCTAAATTTGCAACTCGCTTCTCTTTCGTGGTGTAAGAGAAAAGGTTATGTTGATTGTTGTGTTGACACAGCATGCTCGCGCTTAGCAACAAATGGCGTGACAAGGCACGCTGTTAGTGTTAGAGGCCAAAAGCCCTTCCCAGCCAAGCCAAGCCAAGCCAAGCCGACCATCACCATTTTTCCAATCTATAGCTCTAATAATCTGCCTTAAAGGATCGGATAACAGAAATAAAAGAAGAGTGGTAATAACGCGTTTGCTATAGCTTTTCCGTTTCTTTCAGTCCATCTCTAGTATTTGCTTCTTCGCCTTTTTCCAGAGGCTTCTAATTTAAGAGGCAGGCTGGCTTTTCACACCATGCATCAATGGTGCACTTTGACAAAAAAAAAAATTATAGGTATAATATGCCCTTCTATTATGACGTTTTATCAAACATGTCCCTCTATTAATTTTTAGGGTTAATACCCTAGTTTAGCCCGAAGTTTAGCGTAAGTGTCAGTTTTGGCCCGACTTTTCTAATAAGACATTTCTGGCCTACTTTGTAAACTATTGGACAAATTTAGCCTATAAATTTCTTTGACCGTTAATATTGACAGTCAAGCACTATTCCGTTAGTGACTAAACCAAAAACAGCTGATTTGGCATGCCACGTCATTAAATAATATTTTTTTAATTTTTTAATTCAATTAAAAAAAAGAAATAACACATTAAAACAATTCCCTCTTTCTCAACTGGACAATTTCACACATGAACCCTAAATAATCTAACCCGCCAGCCCATTCCCCTCTTTCTCCCGCACCCAATTCGCCACCTTAATTAAAACTCAGCGCCGCCGTCCCGTCTTCTTCTCCCCGGCCCTGGCGAAATTCCCCGCCCTAAATGAAACCCACAACCCGCCGCCATAGAAGGCCTGACCAGTCGCTTCCAATCCGAATCAATCCCCAACGTCGACGCCACCCAAGACATGCCGGCGTTGTCCAATCTAACTCGCCGTCGTCGCCATCATCTCCGGCTGTTTCTTCTGCCATAGGATCGCCCCGCCGCCTACTGGTTCGGCAACAAGATCGGCAGATCTGGGATAGGGAGATCATCAATCAATCCCCTTCCCTTTGGTTCGGCAACTTGCGCTCGCCGGATGAATGTGCGCCGCCGCCGCCGCCGCCGCCGCCGCCGCCACTAGCGCTCCCCGTTTTGCCTCCGCAGAAGAGGTACCGTCAGCGGCTTCTGATATTGTGGACGGGATCTCGAAGGAGCAGCACCAGAAGCGAACGGGCAAAAATAACGGTAGGGGAGATGGAGTGAGGGTAGCTGAAGATGGGAATGGTGGTGAGATAGGTTGCGATGATGGTTAGGGATTCCGATTGGGTGGGGGGTTGAATTGGGTCGTGAGGGGAGGGAGTTAGGGTGGAGATGGGAGAGTGGATTTTGGTTTTTTTTTTGTTTTTGTTTTTAGTTTGAATTTTTTAATCTAAATAAATGATGTGGCAGCCACCTTGGATCCAACTCAGCATTTTGATGCTGAGTAACCGACAGAAAAATAGTTGACCGTCAGTTTTAACAGTCAACATAAGTTTCAGGCCAAAGTTGTCCAATAATTTGCAAAGTAGGCCATAAATGTCTTATTAGAAAAATCGGGCCAAAACTGACATATACGCTAAATTTCATGCCAAACTAGGGTATTAACCCTAATTTTTATATCAAACATGCCCCTGTACTTTGGAAAAATTATCAAACATGACCTTCTGTTAAAATTCCTTTGAAAAAATCGCCAATCATGGTTGAACCGAGATTTAGACGAACCGACATCGGCAAATGGGAGCGAAAATGTCAGTTTTGTCTCCCGTTTTTATTTCTCTGGGTCTATTCAAAGTGAAATTATTCGAATTATTTGGCTATACAAAAGAACTAAAAAAAATTATAAAAGTGAAATTATTTTAGACATTTGTGCCGCCCAAACCAAAGTTCGACCTTGGTTAACGTTTTTTTGATGAAAATTTAAATAAAAGGGTATGTTTGATCATTTTTACAAAGTACAGTTGATATAAAAAGTAGTAGAATGGCATATTTGATAAAACGTCATAGTAGAGAGACATATTATACCTATAACTCAAAAAAACAATGTATTTTTCGATAACAACCGTCCCAATTATAAAGGGCGAAGCAATAATTTCTCTATGAATAAAAGGGAGTTGTTTTCTTTTGTCAACGAAACTAAGGATCGGGCATAGTTAACAGATCATTTTGTGTTCGACCCGTAGTCCAAAAGTCTTTTATTTCTCTATGATAACAAACAACAACGTGAACAATTTTACAAAATGTTTGATATTGCCTGAGCAAGGGTTCATGATTTTAGGTTTTCGATGTTACAAAGTGAAGATACTTTCCATGAAAACACAAATCATGTACAAATGCTCACATTTAAATAGTATGGTTAAGGTTAACAAATGAATTTTTGTTCGTTTTGAAGAATGCTTAGAAGCAAAATGTGAAATATAATATGATACTTTCGTAATTATTAATTGGTCGATAAAAACATTTTGGGTGAAACGAAAGAGAGAAAGTCATAAAATCGTTGTTCCTCTCTTTGTGTATATGACATGAATTTTTTACTTAGAAGCCACACAATCATTCAATTAGGTATAGTGGTGATTATACTCTACATATATATGTGCCCCGTTATCAGATAATTAAAAGGCAAGTAGACGTTTTAGGAACAATGAGGTTCCAGAATGATCCGAACTCTACCCCTAAAAGTCATCTGCCATTATTAGTTTCCAATAGAATATGAGTATAATTCAGAATCACATTCAGTTTTACGTTGTAAATTGAGTTGACTAAACGATAAGAAATCACCCTTTCCCCACACAAAAAAAAGTCATTTGAGCGTATTAGAGTTATTTAAGTATGTTATTTTATTTGAGTTGTGAAAATTAGTTATAACTTATAAGAGGTAAATTCGATCTGAATTCCTCATCGAAAAGATCCTGTATATTTTTATATAATTTATATTATTCCGCATATTTATTTGATAATGATTACTCTCTTTGTATATGTAAATTGCCCAAATACAACAAATTGATCAAATACTCTAAGGGATCTTTTTGGATGTGATTTTCAGGTGAATAATATTGGTCCAAATAACTTACAACAAGTTACTTACTTACTTGTATAACTTACAACAATCATAAAAAAAAATCTCAAATATAAAAATAACTCAACATCATCGTATCTCAATATTGAAACATGTATTTCACCTCCTTTCTATTATTTCGACACCGTATTCTCTGTCACGGGTTATATTATCAAATACGATATAGAGTGCTTGAAGTCTTCAAATTGAAATCTCAAAGATTAAAAACCCTATAAAACAGTATGGAAGGCAATTTTGGTCGGCCCGGTTCGGTCGGTTCATTAATCCTTTTCCTTCAAGCAGCGGCCACTTTCCTCCTGACCGTCTCACCTACCCTTCATATTTCGGCCTTTTATCCCCCTCCTCCTCCTCGTCCTATAAATACAAACAACCTTTCTCCCTTCTCCACATTCACTCCTCCTAGCAAAACCCAGAAAGCCACAAAACCCAAATTCCCTTTCAAACAATGAAGTCCGTTACAGCCGCAACGCTTCTGCTGCTCTGCCTTTTGCTCGCCTCCTCTGTTTTCGATGTGGCAGTCGCCGCCGGCTCAGGTGCGTAGTTAATTACAATTGCCATTTTTCTACCACGCTACTTACTTGGCAATTCTGTACTTCTGAAAATGAACGGCGATTCTTGTGGTACGACGAAACGAACAGGTATGTGTGACTCCAAGTGCGGAGTAAGGTGCTCGAAAGCAGGGATGAAGGACAGGTGCCTAAAGTACTGCGGGATCTGCTGCGACAAGTGCCAGTGCGTGCCTTCTGGGACTTATGGCAACAAGGACGAGTGCCCTTGCTACAGGGACATGAAGAACTCCAAGGGCAAGCCCAAATGCCCCTAAAAATTTGTCATGTGTGATTAATTACTCTGTTTTATGTAAAAAGAACCTGATGTTTTGGGTTACTCTTCTTCTTTCTTTCTTTCTTATGTGTGTTTTGGTTTATGTGTATTGCTTACTACATATGCATAATTGCATACTTCCCCTGCCTTTATGAATATAAGTAATTAGCAATATGGAAAATCTTGTATGAATTAGATCGAGACGTAAGACGGAGTCAGAGTGTCAGCTTCATAATCATAGTCCATAGACGGATTCGAAGTCTTTTATAAGGGTCGTTTGCTTGAGGGTTTTGGTGATGGATTTGGTCATGGAAATATATCCATCATGGACTTGAACCGAAATCCATCGTTTGCCTTAGGGAATTAGGGAGATGGAATTTGTAGGGCCCACCACTTTTGGGGTTCCAAATCCGTGGACCCCACGGACTTGGAAGTTCCACCTCTTGAGGTGGGATTTGGGTGATGGATTAAAATCCATGATGGTAAATTACCTTTCTACCCTTAATTATTTCTTCAATTACAAATTTGTCCTACTTTAATTCAATGGTCATGCAACGGTAAACTTTTACAATTTCGTATTTTATAAATATGAGAATTTATCATTTCATTTTGTAATATCGTATTTTATTTAAATATGAATGTATATGTGATTTGTTAGATTCACCTAGAAACACTTTATGCTCATCTTGTACATTATTATTTGATTGATTGTCGGATTCCACATCGGTGAGTTAGCAAGAAGATGATGAGTTGTAGCAATAAAGCGAGCAATTGGCTGCAATTGATACATAATATTGCGTACATTATTAGATGAATTGTTTTTTTATGAATGATAATTAGATGAATTTTTAATTAGTGCCAAGATGAATTGTTAATTAGTGCCAAATTGTAATACATTTCTATACTTGCAGTTGAATTATTAATCCACATAGTGGTAAAGAGTTTAAAATTTCTTTCTATGTTTTGGATTAGTTTTTAAATGAAAGATTTGGATTATAATATAGAAATATAATTAAATAAGGGTAACTAGGTAATTTGTATTTAATATCCACAAATCTAATCAAACAAAGTCCATAATCAAATCCATCAAGCAAACAATAAACTTGTTCAAATCCATAATGCCACCAAATCCATCATATATCCATTGTTTTCCAAAACCCAGGTTTTACCAAAACCCTCATTTTTCAAATCCACGAAGCAAACGACCCGTAAAATTTGGTCAACGAATAATAAATTTTTATATGTTCGTACAAGTGATCAAACTCAGCCATCTTGAGCTGATATAAGAACTGTTTGAACCTAACTTAGTGTAGGAGTGAGATTCGAGTGAGAGTTTGGGTCAAGAAGAAACACAAGTGTGGGGTTTAATCGGAGGATCAAGGATCAGGAGTCGAGAGAGAAACAGAATAGGAGTTTAGAGAGAGAAGCCGTTACTATAGAGAGAGAGTGGCCAGAAAAATGCGATCTCCCTCACCCACCGGAGTAAATGCCATATTTATAGGCTACATGTTGGTGGGTGAGTGGGTGGACTACGAGACGGTACAACGACGTGACTACTGATGTGTCAGGGATTTAGGCCATCCCTCAACCTAGGACTTGTCAGAGGGTTGTCTATGATTGTACCTAAAGTCTTGACGTGACCTTCCCTCGGGAAACGCAATGACGCCCTCTGCGGCTATGACGCCCTTTGCGGCCCCTAGGTCTGGTTATCGCCTGGACTTCACACTCGCGCGCGTAGCTTTACCCTTGCCGCGCACAAGGTCTTTGCGCCGCCGGTTGTGTCGCGCGGTCGACATGTTCCTTTGGCGCGGGGATGATCCGAGTCATATGTCCAACAATTACCCCCCACAGGGGGTGTTTCTCGAACGCCTCCTGTTGAGATCTCCGCTCTGTTGACTCGGATCCACGTGTTTCGCGAGAATTGGCGGGCTACGTCCCGTGCGCTTTGAGGGCGTCGTGATCGCGCGACTATCTTGAGGTTCTTCCGTTCGTTGCGAGGTGAGGCGTGGTTGTTTTGCGTGCGCGATCTCCACGGGGAATCTTCTGTTCGTTGCGAGGCGCGGTTGTTTTGTGGGCGCGATCTCCGCGGGGTTCTCTTTGAGTATTTTTTGGGGGTGGGGTTTTCTCCTTTGCGGGTGTGTCATGCCCCCCAGGCGTTGCGCGTCACTCGTGACGTCAACGACTAGTGCCTATGCTCGTTATGATTGATTGGGATTGGAGTCTACCACGTGTCGCTACGCGATTGGTCAACTCTGGCGGCCTTTTGAATTTCGAAATCCTCCGACGGTTGCGATTCTCGATGACCTTTAACCCCCTCGACTTCCCATCATCACCTATAAATATACGGCTGCTCTCGGGGTTTCCTTTCATCTTTCATTCCTCACGTTTTGCTCTCTAGCTTTTCCATCTCTCTATTTTCTGGGATTCTTCTTCTTCTTCTACAACCTCAAGTCTGCCATTTGCTTCTGCTACTCAAGGTATTGCCATGGATAGCACCAACATCAATGAGACCGAGGTCGTGCAGGGCGAAGAAGGTAATCTTCTTTCTTTCTCACCTACTTCTACCCGACTTGAGTCGAATCCGGCCGATTCCGGCAACGGGGACAACGGTGGTGTTAACAACGACGACGGTGCTAGTGATGACGAGGGGGTTTCGGCATCGCCGTCGGCCAACGTCGATTCCGGCAGGGGCTTTCAAGAATCTTCTAACGCTGATATGGTTCCGTCGGGTAGTGGGCCGGCGGGCTCTAGTGGGGTTCTAATAATCAGGCGTTTGCATGACGGGAGATCTGGCGGGGCGACTTCTGAGGCGCGCGATGGATCAGAAACGCAATCGGAGCCCCTTTACCATGTCCGCGTGTCAGAAGCGATGAGCCGGCTAGGGTTCCAAGGCATTGGCGCGGTCTACACGGTTTTGGATTGGGCCGAGATGTGGGGCGATCAGTCGGCCCCACATGACAACCTTCTCCGTGGCCCCGACCACGCCTCGATTTATGGGCGCGAGGATGTGGAGGAGATTGTGCGTGGGTTAGGGTTGCCCCCCAGCTGGCAGTACGCCGTACCCTCTGTGCGCAGCATGGTTGGGAACTGCCCCCCAGGGTGGTTCGGCGTTTACACGAAGTACTGGGTGATGGGATTTAAATTTCCCATCGATCCACTGTTGTGCGCCTTATACAGGCAGCTCAAGTGCTCAATCGCGCGGCTATCTCCCTCAGTTATTATGCACGCGAGTTGCCTTAGAGCGGCGTGCAAGCGGCTCAAGATTACGCCCACTTATGGGTTATTCCGGAAGTTTTACAAGATCAAGGAGCCCTCGAAGACAAGTGACTGTCTCTCGATCAAGCGCTGTGACAACAGGCCTGACAGTTTTGTGTACGGCTCGCCTAAGCTGAAAAAGACCTGGTTCGAGCGTTTCTTTTATGTGAAGCCCACTCCCGGGGAATGGGCGAGTGAGTATGTTGCGGAGCCGACTACCTGGATGAAGGGTGGCACGCACGCCTACGAGTCGGAGTTGGGCAATTACCCCGGGCTTGATCGGGAGTATGAGGCGTGCTTGCTTCAGAAGTTCAATCTGTACTTGGCTGGGGTCCGCGAGGCCTGCTTGGCCGAACTCTTTGCCGATGGTTAGTTGGTACTTCTTTCATTTTGTATTCTTTATTATTAACCGCCCTCTTACTATTTATTGGCGCAGGTGTTGATTTTTCTAGCCTGGCCAGCATGATGTCGGTCGATGAAGTTGTGAAGGCTTCTCGCGCTGGGAGGAAGAAGACGAGAGAAGGTGAGCAGGCTGCTGGGAAGAAGGGTGGGAAAAGGAAGGCCGCGGAGCAGCCGACCATTGTGGAGAAGGCGCCGAAGGCGGTGCGCATTGTTGAACCAGCGGCAGAGGCGGCGCCGGTGACGCCGCGCGTACCTCTGATGCTTGCGAAGCATGCTCCGCGCGTAGCAAGCACCGCTCGTCCTGATAGGGGCGCCTCCGGCAGCTCGTCTGGGGCCGGGATCCAACAACAGCTGCCGCAGATGGCCGGGGGGCCATCGACTACTTCCGCGACGTGCGGTTTCATACAGGCGCCGCGTGCAACGTTGCGTCCGCGAATGTTGCACTGCGGGCATTGGGTCCTCTCTTGGGCGTCCCGTCCCGCATGGAAAAGTCTGATCCGCTCATGGACCTGGCTCAGATCCATTTCGCGGTAAGGTTTTCTGTCAAGTAAGAGCTGTTATTTTCCCACCATTAAAAATTTCTTTAAGCGTTACTGCGTTGCGTTCGTAGGGCTTGCTGGCAACATTTCGCGCTCAACAGGAGCGGGGACGTGAGCGCGCGAAGTTGAGATTCGAGGAGTCTCGGATTGAGCAGCTGGAGGGGAAGCTCTCTGGCGCTGAAGGACTCGCGGAGTTGGCCACAACAAAAGCCAATGACGCGTTAGTGGAGCTCGGCGTCCTGCAGAGTAAGCTGGCGGATCAGATGGACACCGTAAGGGAAACCGTCCGGGCGGAGTTGCGGGCGGAGTTTGAGACGGAGCGGAAGCGTCTGCTGGACGAGAAGGAGCGGGAGAAGAAGGAGATGATGTCTGACGCCGCAGACAAGTTGAAGCAGGCTCGGGAGGAGTTTGGGAAGGAGAAGAAGGACTTGGTTCGCCTCCATGGTGTAGCCAAGGCGGAAGCGGTTCGTGAGGCGCAAGCCGTTGCTGTCCGCCAGTACAAGTCTTCCTTGGAATTTGGGAAGATTATTGCGGACGCGATGACCAAGGCTGTGATCGCTGTGGGAAAGAAGGTGCGCCCGGAGAATCCTGATTACCAGTGGGACACTCGTGCTATGGTTGCGCATGTGAAAACATGGTTGCACGAGAAAAGGCCGCTGGAGTCAGACTCTAAGTCGGAGGACGAGGAGGAGGAAGAGGAGGGACGCCCGGATGGGGAGAAGGTTGAGGGCGCCAGTGGTGGCGGCGAGAGAGATGACGGGGCGAGTACTGACGAAGAGGATGCTGAGCCTTTGCTGCGCCGTAGGACGGGCCAGGAGAATGCGCAGAAGAGCATCGGTGGTGCTCAGGCGGACTAAGGGTGGTCGCGCTCTTTTTTCCCTTTTGCCTTCTCTCTCTTTTTTTTCGCTTTGCTATCCTGCTTTGCTATCCTGCTTGTAACCGCGAACGTTTATGGTGTTCCCCACTGATTAAATCCAACGAACCATTGTTTTACTGCGCTCAACTGCTAGTGCGCTTATTTGTGTCCGTTCGTCTGGTTTTGTCTATCGAGTGGGCGCGGTAGCGCGGTCTTGTTGCTATTTTTATTCGAACTGAATGGGCGCGAATAGTGCTGGACTATTCT